AAAATTGAAATTTCCCGAAAATAGAATTTAATAACGAGCCAGGTAGAACCGAAGCAAATAGTTCCTCACAATGACACGGTGCGATTTGATTTTCCGAAGAAAAAAAAAATTCTTCCCTTACCCCGACAAAGGTCGAAGAGAATTATTTTTCAAAAATTGAAATTTCCCGACTTCCAAGACCTTCGTCAGGACCTCCATAACCACGTGTCAGAGTTTTCAATTATTCGGTGCACCCGTTACGGAGAAAAGTTGTATAAATATTTTCACGTATATGTATATGGACCCTTTCATATCGCCGTAACATCGCAAATTTAGCTCCAAATTCGCTTAATAATTAATTTCCTAGTGACAGCTGGGAGATTCTCAAAAATTAGTCAGCTGATGGCTGTCCTGCAAGATTGACGTATTCTCTCAATAAATAGAAAAATATTTCTAATAAAATGAATATCCAATTAGGTCGGACCATCGAGTGGGATTTCAAAGGGATGAAAAATTCTACCTACGAATTTAAGGTAAGCGTTGTAAAAATAGTCGAATAGTATTTTAAGAGTAAGAGGTTAGGTTGGAGTGAGCACCACTGGACCGGCTCGCGCGAAAGAGAGGTAATGGCATATAGCGAATCGCGCGAGTGGAGACGCATGGCGTTAGCCAGATGGTCGACTCGCGTGTTATACGTATCGACGATACGTGCTGCGCGGCCGACCTACTGAGCATGCGCGGTGCAGTTGCGCGCACCGTACAATAGATAGATGTATAGATATGTGCCCATAATTATGAAAGTGGTCTAAGTCGTATATTTTTTGTTTCGAAATTGCATTGAATTAATTTCGTTTGAAATAATATGGCGTGAAATAACTGATAAACTCATTTTTTTTTTTAAATGTTGACTTAGACCACTTTCATAATTATGGGCACATATAAGAATACCTGTTTGAAATTCCGAAATTTCGTAAAAAAAAAAAAAGAAGTAAGAAAATCGTTCACAGTACCACCAGCCGATTTTAGTTTTCGAAAGGAAAGAAAGAAAAAAAAAATAAAAATGGCGTCTCGTAGGGCTAAGAGGAGAGAGAGCGAAAAGGCTTAATCGGGGCGAGATTCTCTGTAGCGCCGGAGTCTGGCGCTCGGAGCCGTCTAATTTTAATTCCCGTCGGTGCCGTCTAATTTTAATTCCGGCGTCGATCGCGTCGTCACAATCGGCGAGACTCGCGTCGATTAGCGATCCCCGTCGATACATCGATATCGGGCCATGCCGCTAATCGCTGCAATCATCGCGGGGGTTAATCGCGCCAGAGGTGCAAATTCTACTGGCGAGACTGCCCGGTTGACAAAAAAAAGAAAAAAAAAAGAATAAAAATAAAAATAACGAAAACAAGAGATAGCTCGTCGCGACGCGCATCGAAAGATCAAGGCCACGGGTTATCGGAGTGATATCCCGAAAATTATCCTTATAATCTCGAATCGAAATATTCCAAGGCGAGCCAGGACAATTCCGTGATTTCACGCGATTTATGAACGTTTTTAAGTCGAACATTCTGGAAATAGAGTAACCGTAGAGATTGGAGAGGAGTCCATGGTGCAGGAGAATTTCTTTTTCCCCCTGCGTGAATTAAATTTCTGAACGCCCTTCGCCTCGACGCGGGCCAACCTAACCTGAAAGGTGCCACAGGTGTTCGGTTATCGCGGCTCGCCGTCTGCGATTCCGAAGCACGACCGGGCTCGCGCAGAGCGCGCCCTTATTACAGCCTAATGGCTCGCGTATAATTAATGCAGATATGCACGCCGATTGGCCGGAGGCCGGCCCATCGGACATCCGGCGAGGGAAACGGGCGATAAAAGTCATCCGAGGCAGGTACGCGGTGAGCTTCCTCCCTTCCCCGATTATCCGCAGCGCAGCGCCACGGTCGCTCGCTATAAGTACGGCCGACCCCTCGCGTCGCAGGTAGTCGGATGCGGCGCGCCCGCAGGGGTTGGTCCTAGGGGAGGGGCAGCAGCTCCGGTGTGAGCGGGAGCAGGTGCGTATAAGGTACAGGTGGGGCGAATGGTAAGGTACGTCACGGACTGGCGCGTTTTTACCGCAGTATATCGGTTACTCGACCCTGTCTGCGTAATCCTACCCGGGGACGGGGTTGGGCTCGCAAGGCGTGTTAAAAGTGCCGCCCAACCGGCGCTATACCGAGAAAAGGACCCGACGTCGACCGAAAGATTCCCTGCGATTATTTTTCTTCCGCTTTACCCAAGATCCCCTCTAAAAAAAAGGGCCCTCTCCACTTTAACGCGTTATGACTTTAGCTTCCTTACGTATGTATCTTTTGTAAAAATAAAAATAAAAACGAGCAGATCGATATGTTGTCTTTATAAAAGGACCCGATCTTGAAGTACGCATCGTAATCGTTCCTCCCCGTAATCTAAGCCCTCTCGCGTTACCACCGGGTGACAAACTGCACGCGCAATAGAAGACGCACCGATAAGCCGCCAGCGATAGGGCAGGGCCTCTCTTTTTATACCGCGAGGAGTGCGGCCGTCCGCGGAATCTGGCATGAGGCACCCGCCATGGCGGAAGTCGGGGTCAGAGGGCGCAGCCGATAGGAACAAGATGGCGCCAAAGGCCCGATAAACGCGGGAAACTAGGGCCCAGGATCGCGAACGGGGACTTTTTTACCCTGAACACGATATAAAAAGACTCTCAATGGAAGATTCTCATTCCAGAGCCTTCCATTGAGCTTTATTTCCGGCCGGCTGATAAAAAGTGCACGAGAAGCGAGAGACTTTTTGCCGGCCCGTTAACGGACCTTGGGAATAAACGAGAGGGCTTTTTAGCCCTGAATCGGCTAGATGCACCGCCTCGAACACGTCCAGGACAGTTACTTAAACGCGCCGGGACGCGTGCACGAGGAAGTCGTAACTTTGACCAAAGAGCTCCGGTGACGCCGCCGAGGAGCGTTCGGCTCGAGGTAAACCTACGGCACGTTCCAGTTTTTACCGGCGCACGCAACGACTGTAAAACGCTAACAATTTCACACTTATTGCAGGAATTGCGTGTCCTGGGATCCTTTCCGACCGGCCGACTAGTCGAGCGGCCGTTCCGATGAAGTAACGAGTTGCTAAACGACGACGCACACTTGAGCGCCGTCCCTACACTGTTAAAAAAATTCATAAAATTCATAGACTTTAAGTACATAAGGTTGTCGTAAAATTTGATGTCTTAATAGTGAATTAGTATACATTTATTATAAGATTCTAAGTAAATCTACAATTTTATAACACCGTGTTGTAATTTTGCGAAATTGCGGAGTACTCGAATAAAGATTTTGGCTAAAAGGCGCGAGTGCGAGTTAAAGGGTGAATATATTACGATGCAATTTTCCTCGACTTGGAAGTTCCACATTCGGTCATGGCGGTCACGCATGGACTATTCCTTTTATTTCGCGCGCGGGCTCAATTAATTTCTCATTCCGGACAGTTTTCCTCGAATGACGGTCGGCATCGATCACGGTATTTGCCGGCAGGTAGTCAGGCAAATTGCGGGGAGATCGAATCGACCCGAGATATCGTCATTATCAACACGAGAGAGGTCGGTTCATCGAAAGCGGGGGCAAAATGTCAGGCCGAGGCGGAAGATGGGCCTGGAACGGCCCGTCAGGGAATTTCGTCCAGTCATTACGCCGGCGGACGCAGTTTAGATCATTACGAAACCCCGGAAAATACCCTGTGCGCGAAACGAGCATGTCCCGTCACGGAAATCGATTCCAAGCTCAAAAGGTCTGCCTGCGACATTTCGCCCGGCGCGTCTAAAAAATCCAAAATGGCCGCCGCCTCTAATTTCGAGACACCCTCCTAAATAAAAATTCCCAGCCACCAAAGAAACGCGACTGGTTTCGATTTATCTTCGCATAGCAAAAATTTTACATTGTGCGAAGTCGCATCATCGGACGTCGATGAAAGTCATGTACAATACTGTCAATTTTGCATACGAAAGTAGATCGTAATTTACTGTAAAATAAAAAAAAAAAATTAAAAATTGGACTTAGACGACCCGTATACCATATTTTTAACGGACGTATTTAACTGAGTGATCGTGGAGTTAACTTTTTCCTGTAGGCTCGCATCTCTCAATGTTCGGTAACGTTCGGCTAAGTTCGTTTACGTTCGCCTCCCGGCCACCCCTTGTCCGAATCTCGCGATCATGACTGGCGGCATCAGCGATTGCCCCTCTGGCAGAATCTCGTCCCGGTCGTTTCTTTTCAGCCTCCTCTCGAGCCAGACGGCGAAAGAGGTTAGGCGCGATCGGAAGGGAGATTCCGAGAGGTCGGCCTCTCGTTGAAAGGCGCCGGTTGTTCGCACTGGTCCAGCCGGGCGACCCACGCCGGCGCCCTGTCCGTCTCTCTCGCTCGGCCCGCGGCGGCGCGCGTCCCCTCTCTCTCGCGGCCCGCTCGCGACTACTCCCTTGCGCTGCGTTGCGCGTTCCTTTCGTTCTCTCTCAGTCCGGCCGGCTGGCGCCTCTCCTAACGACAATTATCGTTCCGTCTTCTCGCGCTACTTTCGTTCCGATTTCCCGGATATAAAATACCCCCAATTAGAAAATCACGAGTTAAGAATTAAGGCGACACGATAATGGCCTCTGAGCCTGAAATTATAAAAAAAAAAAAAAACCTACTAGGTGAACCAGATTGTTTGAAATCTTTCACGTGAATATGAAATACCTGGCGTGAAATTTCATGAAATTGAATGGGTACCAGGACCTTCCTTAGAACTCCAACATCCTTATGATAAAATTCCAAACGATTTAGTAAATCCATAAACGAGATCCTCGACGGCATTTTCATGTCACCTTAAATTATTTGAGGTTATGCGCGATGATATATATAGCCGCGAAGAAATTGTTTAAATTCGAAAATTGCCCGGATTATGGTTTAATTTGGGTATAATAGTGGACCGCATTTCCGGGTTAAATTCGAGGATGTATAATTTAGGTTAGGATGTTATCAACAAGCGTTATTCACCTTTCACGAAGGCGGAGAGCTCGCTGGTGGACCCGACCACGTGGAGGCTCATCCTCGCGTAGTTCTCTCTCAATGATTCACTTTCTCTTGAATAGCGCCGCACGGATCGATGCTCGAGTTCCCGTAATCCGATGAAGCACAGCGACCGAACGCGATCGCGAGATTCAATTGTCCGGTGTAAAAACGATTAAACCGTATCCTCGGTGCAGAACAACGCAGGATGACCACGAGCGAGAGAGATCCTCGCGGTACCGCGGCTGGCGACGGACTGACTCCGTGGTTAACCTCACCTCGTGCACGCCTTACAGCCGGCGTCGTTAGAGGAGTGGGGAGGGGCTCCTGCGACCCGAGAATTCGGACACAAACCTAACCCTAAAGTGTACCCCCAATAAAAGTACCCAATCCCATGCCCTAGCTAAAGTAACCAGCTCAAAACTTCCCCATAGCACAGTAGACTCCCGTACAACACAGTTAATAAGTCACACACTATATGAATTCCCGTTATAGTAAAAACGTGCTGTACCGGAATTTTTCTCACATACCGCGCATGTGTACTATTTATCGCGCTGTAGGAATTCCTGAGTTACTTACACGGGGGTCTACCGTATTTCCATCTTAGCCCACCCTAAAAGTCCCTCCCAGATATATGAGGAGTTCGTCCCAAGCCCAAGACAAGTCGACCAGAAGTCGGCCAAACCTCTGATAACGATCCAGTAGCACATTTCAGGGGGGTTGTGGATCCTAAGGGATTTAGGTTATCAAGGAGAAAGTTCATCTTAGCGATAATTCCTGGAAATTCACCTTTCATGAACGCTGAGAGCTCGCAGGTGGACTCGACCACGTGCGCGGTCATCCTTGGGGTGCGCACAGGGGGCGCCCCGATGCGGAGGTCCTTCCGGTTCTAGTAATCCAGGCGCACTGTGTCACGTGGGGGTCACGGGTCACGAGTCACGTGGTCGCGACGAGGGGAGCGAGAGACACCGCGCGGTCGGGGAGCGGCGCGCGCACGAGGTCCTCGCGGTCTCGCGGCTGGCAGCGGACTGACTCGCCGAGGCGGCTCGCCGCGTGCACGACTCCCGTGGCCGGCGGGGAGGGGGGCGGCGTCGACGCTGCGGGTGCAATCCCACAACTCAGGCTCTCTCGGGCCGGTACGCGCCGCGACGACGCCGCCGTTCGGTGGCGGAGGGGGCGCAGAAGTGCACGCATTGTTGGGCGGCCGGGGAGGAGCGGGGGGGCGCCGGCCCGCCGGGGCGCCGGGGAGGCCGACAGAGCGGCGCCAGCCGGCCGAGCGTCGGCGAGCCCCGCCACCCACCGGCCGCCGCGACGCCTCCCGGTGCCCCAGCCATCCGACGCCTGGACCGGCCGCCGGATTCTTAGCGGCGGCACGCGGAAAAGAGACGATACCCGGACGTGGGTGCGAACCCATAACCCTAAAAGGGTTCGACCCCTACAGAAGCGCCACTCCGCGGAAACCAATTAGGCCCTGGCCCTGTACACTCTCCCGTCCTTAACACGGGACTCCATTAGCCTTACCATTACGCTGGAATCTGATTTTAACTTATTACTCTCATTGTTAACTTTCCGTTACTCTGTGCGATGTCGAAATCACGTATATTTGTGTATTTTTTGTCTTGATTATTCTGCCGAAAATTTATGTGGTAGGTTGTCTTGATGAAACGGGCTCACGTTGGCACTGAGTCAGACTCAGTTTTTGGTTAATGGTTAATGTTTACTAATTTTTGCATTGTGTTTCTTTTATTGCGTGAAAAGACATCGAGTTGTGGAGGATTAACTTATGGATTTGTTGTTACACGGTTGGGACATTTTTTAGGAGCCGGAAAAAGAGGCGAGGATCCGCTGTTGCAGGAAATTCGCTTTCGGTGGGTTAAATCGGCGGATACTCGCGTTAAATAATCGTCGGCGTTCTCTCTTTGTTGACGGAAACGACGAGACTTCCGAGATGGAGTTAGTCAGTCAGTCGGAAAGTTTTATCGATTTTCACCGTCGAAATCGAAGCGTCCTCTGCCGACCGAATCTGTATGTCAATTGTGCCCATAATTATGAAAGTGGTGTAAGTCATATATTTTTTGTTTCGAAATTACATTGAATTAATTTCGTTTGAAATAATATGGCGTGAAATAACTGATAAACTCATATTTTTTTTTAATTTTGACTTAGACCACTTTCATAATTATGGGCACAATTATCGACGAGATTTCTTACGGAGGGACCGAAAAGAAACATCCCTTAACGCGGGGGGAATTTTCCGTCGAGTCTCCACCGAAGGGCCATTTTTCAAGACGAGTCACCAAGGATTTGTAGGATTACCCTGTTTCCACGGGGAAAAGCCGCCTTCCCCAACTTCTCTGAGAAACGACCGAAAACACGACTCGGAAAAGAAGGGTCGCCCATATCTTGGAATTTTTTAATCGTTAAGATCATTCTACATGTCAATTCGTCACACACATTTTTTTTTTTATTGTTAAGGTCACACTTTGCAAATCAAGCCTGCAAATTTGGGTTGTTTTACGTCCTCAAGGTACGCAGAAAAATAAGGACAAAAAATATGGCATAAGGGTAGTCTAGAACCCCGTCCTGCAGAGCACGTGGCGACCGCCGCGACACATGCGAGGACGGGAACAAGGAATTACTCGTAAACTTCCGGAACCCAACGTGTCGTTTACGACACCGAGGAAAGCCTGCACTCTCTGGAAACACGCTAGCCAGGAGTGCTCGCCGCGTGTGTTCGGCCTCGAGGTGCATTTTTCGAAACGTGTCCGCCATTTCGGCGCGGTCGACATCTGGCCGAATTCAAGGATTTCCGAAATCCCGGATCCCCAGAAGTTCCAGCTCACCCACCCGAAATCCGCCCTTTGGCATCGCATTAAACGTCGTTATTACCATATCAAACGTTATTTCAAACCATGCGTTGACTCCTTCGACGACTCGAATGATTTCAAGCCCTAATGGCGAAAAGAATTTCACGTGGAAAAAATTTCGCCGCCTAAGGGCAAGCGAAAGAAAATTACCTCTAAATTTAACAAATTAACGTCGTTATTATCCTATTAGATGTTATTACAAACGAAACGTGGACTTTTCCGACGACTCTGGTGGCCTCAAAACCAACATGGCGGCGCGCCCGATGGGAGACTGCGTCCCTTATTATTTTTTATTTCGAGGGGTTTTCCCCTTTCGCGGTTGAGATGATCGAATCGTGGGGGAAATTCGAGATCGGAAATCTGGCGAGTGATCAAATTTAATGTCGTTATTATCGTATTAGATATTATTACAAGCAAAATGTGGACTTTTCCGACGACTCTGGTGGCCTCAAAACCAACATGGCGGCGCGCCCGATGGGAGACTGCGTCTCTTATTATTTTTTATTTCGAGGGGTTTTCCCCTTTCGCGGTTGAGATGATCGGATCGTGGGGGAAATTCGAGATCGGAAATCTGGCGAGTGATCAAATTTAATGTCGTTATTATCGTATTAGATATTATTACAAGCAAAACGTGGACTTTTCCGACGACTCTGGTGGCCTCAAAACCAACATGGCGGCGCGCCCGATGGGAGACTGCGTCTCTTATTATTTTTTATTTCGAGGGGTTTTCCCCTTTCGCGGTTGAGATGATCGGATCGTGGGGGAAATTCGAGATCGGAAATCTGGCGAGTGATCAAATTTAATGTCGTTATTATCGTATTAGATATTATTACAAGCAAAACGTGGACTTTTCCAACGACTCTGGTGGCCTGAAAACCAACATGGCGGCGCGCCCGATGGGAGACTGCGTCCCTTATTATTTTTTATTTCGAGGGGGTTTTCCCCTTTCGCAGTTGAGATGATCGGATCGAGGGGGAAATTCGAGATCGGAAATCTGGCGAGTGCGGAAGATCGGCCACGGCAGTTGGCCGGTTCGGCCTTTCTGGCGCTTCTTCTGGTCTCCCCTTCGACGCGAGCTATCCGGCCTTCTAATAATACCGAATCTCCTCGTCGGAAACGGAAGTCAACTAACAGCTGGTACCCGCACGGGCATAGAAAGGTCGTTACCTAGAGCCGCGTTTTACCGGCGCGTGATTTACGGTAACGGCGAGCACGCGACCGCTCCTTGTGCACCAGGATGCACCGAACTGCAAACATTGCACATGCACGCGTCCCTACAGAAACATTTCTGGACAATGCCTCTGGACATTGTAATAATAACCACACATGTAGCGGTAACCAGCGCAGTTTATCGAGGTCTTGCAGAGTTCGTTCGTAAGGATCTATCGCGAGGATTTAATATTAATCTTAGGTAAATTGTAATCTTATACCAAGGTGATGTCAAAATGGCGTCAAAGGGGTCTCGTTTATGAAAATTCTCCCAACTGGGCGTTCCGAATTCTTTGAAAATATACTACATAAATCTGGAGGCTATAAGAAAGGTCCTGACACCCATGAAATTTCAGTTTTCAGAAAAAAATGTGGAAAATGCTTATAAAGAAATTTCGAAATTTGAAGTTTCATGCGTATCAGGATCTTCTTGCAGTTTCCGGAGTCACGTTGTGAAGCTTGAAATGATTTGGTGCATCCAGTTCGGTGACAAGTTTCATTAATGCCATTTTCACGTTCGTTCAATATTTGGCTGGGAATCAGTGCTTAGAGCTTTGTATTTTCGTGGGAAGTATGTTTCCGTGAGGATGAGGTCCTTCTTCGGAGTGGCTTGCGATTGGTTCCAGGATTCCGTCCAGATGGGCGCACTTGGGTCGCAATTTGTAACCACGGCGAGAATTCGAGAGTCCTTCGGCCTCGAGTTCTCGTCGAAAAGCCGGAAGATTATCGGCAGAAGAGGATCTCCTTGATTCGAGTGTGCTTTTCAGGGTGGCCCGAGGGAGTCGTGCGAGAGACAGGTCCCGAGGGAATCCTTCCTCTGAGGGGAGAGTCCTGCGTGTCCTCTATCTTCTTACGATACTTTTATCCGACCTGAACCGTAACCTTACCCCCTAGACCATTCTCTTTAAACATATAATAAAAGAAAAAAACTTACGATTTATCCCTACTCTGTAACAAAATGTCACCTAACCCTCTACCCTACATTTTTAAATGAAGGAAAAAACATAGGATTATTTAAAATAAAATTAGTAATCATTAATCTTGTGATATGAACTAATTATAGTAATTAATTTATAACTCACATATAAGGAGCTTTACAGCATTCAGATGCCACGTGACATTTTGTCGGAAAAATGGAATGAGATATGTGCCCATAATTATGAAAGTGGTCTAAGTCATATATTTTTTGTTTCGAAATTACATTGAATTAATTTCGTTTGAAATAATATGGCGTGAAATAACTGATAAACTAATTTTTTTTTTTAATTTTGACTAGACCACTTTCATAATTATGGGCACATATGGCGGCTATATTTAAGTCAA